ATTTGTTGTATACGTAAAAACTTAACATTTTCATTTGTCTTCTTTTTATTTTTTTTCAACGTCCATTATTTGTGTTCGTCTTTCCTCATTTCTTGTTTGTTGTTTACGCTTCTTTTCCGGTCGGCAATGCATACATTTGGGGCCTGTCACTTGAGACTCAATTTACTATAAATACAACTTGATTTCACCAGCTTTGAAATGGCTTCGCTTACATTTCATTCATTCTCTGCGTCTTCGTTCATTTTATGGTTTTGAAAAATTGCTCTGGACACAGAAATCAGTAGATGATAATACATTCTCCTCACCGTCCCTTTCTGAATGCTTTCAGTGAGCTGAATTCGAATTATTATTTGAATTATAATGAAAATGTTTTTACGATTATTACCACTAAGCGTTTATATGCCTGTTATACGATATACACGGACCACACGTTAAAAGGAATTACAACAGACACTTATTGGATTTTAATCATTTCTCTTTTTCTTCCCCAACACTAAAACTAGCGTAGTTTCAAAGTTTTTGAAAAAATTTAAAAGGTGCATATAGTAAAAATTATAATTTTTTCAAGATTGCTTCAATGTGCTGTCTACTGTGGGAGTGTTAAGCTTTCGATGTCTCCTATAGGAGAGGAAAGTTCTAAAAGTTAAATACGATACTTCTCTTGTGAAATATTTTGAATGTTAATGTCCGGTGTTTTCATTCCATTTCGTTATGTCTTTTCCTTCTAAAGAATCGTCGATCGATAGTCAAGCTACCTGCGTTTTTAAAATTATTCCGTTTCTGGCAATTCCTTCGTGCGACATGCGTACCTATAGTAGATCGTCATTTCGGCAAAGTCACCTTATTTCCGATCTTTTTTATACCCACCACTGAAGGACGGGTGGTACACTCATTTTGTCGTATATCCGTGATCAGCATAAATTTCCGTATTGAATAAGTCACGTTTGTCCGTCACACCATCTATGTGGGGTGTGTTGTTGACTTGTTGCAAAAAGGAAGATTTCGACTTCAAATTTGGTAGAAATTTTGGAAGATTTTGCACGGAAGCTGGTATTGAAAATGTGTTAAATTGGTCACACAACAAGCCCGCGGCATAGCGTAGACTGAACTGAAATCGTACTATTTACGTGCAAAATCGGAAAAAATTGGCCATGCCCATACAAGGTTACAAGTGAGTAAGATTTCGTTTGTTCATTTCTTTTGAGGTTTTATTCTTATTAATCATAAGGTAACGAAGACCGAATGTTTAAAACCTTTTGTACATTCTTCAAATGTGTTAACTCCAACATAAATAAGGTGGACACCATGTTCTGGAGGCTTAATATTTTTTTAATAATACCGGCGCTATAGGGATCAAATAAAAACACTCGGAGAGAGGAATGCGACAAGCTAAGTGTGCTAATTCTAAATTAATTATGGTGGACCTCACGACATGGTGGATACATTTTTTCTGAAAAACACCGTCGATGTGTGGGTATTAAATAAAAGGGCTTGGAGGTTAGATTAATTTTTCTTAATAATAATGCCTTTCAGTGAAGTAAAACGAGAGAGACAATTTTATCTCATTCACCTTTTTATGACAATATATAAAAACATGGGGCACAAAAGATTTTAATAATGGTGGGCATGCGAACTTCGCCCCCAGCCGAATATGGTTTTCTTACTTGTTTTTATGTGCATTGTCATACATATATAAGTGCACTTTATTGTTATAAATTGGTTTGCATTGGTTGATTGTATTTGTATACCGTGGCTTCTTACATGTGTTGATTGAAAGTTACCTATGTTTGAATCGATTTCGTTTGGTCTGTTGCGGAAATCATATGGCAGTTTAATTGCTTCTATTCAATGCTTGATACGTTGCAATGTTAAAAAATAGCAATCATATAATACACAGAACTTTTTTCAAAATAGTGTCATCTTTTGATGGCTTCCTGAGTTGGGAAAGCACATATAACGCTTTACTTTCGTAGAGAAATACATTTTGCGACTTGGTAGAAATCAGAAGGGTATACTTTGGTCGAATACGGTTAGTCCAAATGTGATTTTTAGTTAAAAAAACAAATCTTTAGTTTTCTCCGTAGATTTTGCTCATCAAATAATTTGCGCGTAAAAGAGTCAAATCCCCCTTAAAGGATCAAATGTAGCGACAAAGTAATGTTTAAAAATTTATTTCGTTTACCATTGATTTTAATGAAGATTCTTGTTTTTCAGTTATTGAACGCTTACGGAATGGTAAACTTTTTTTATCAGTTGCGACTATTTCTGTGAAACTTTTGCTAAATTGAAAACATCTTCTCTTTAGTCTCAATGTTCATGTTTGGATCGATTTAATAAACACATTGTCACTTACAAGAGTTTCCTATAGACGCTTTCAGTATATCATATATACATTCTATCATACATTCTCTATTTTATAGAATATTGAACTTTTTCGCTTGCATATCTATCGTGCTCGACTCTTGGCAGAATACGATTCGGCAAATGGTAGTTCCTCGATAAGCAATCTGGGTATTTAAACTGCCCGAACTCTTCGCAATTTACGCACTTCTTCTTCTGCCATCCACGCAAGAACTTTGCTTAGAATAAAAATAACAGCTTATAGTATTTATGGGGAACGCTATACTAAAAGATTTACATCTTCGAGATGGTATGCGTGCGTGCATCATTGGAAGGCAACCTATCATTTTCTTTTAAAAACTTGAGAGTTTTTTACTTACGATATTTTTTTGTTTTTCCTTAGATTAATAATAATAAAAAAAAAAGAAAAAACATAAAAAAATAAAACCGACATTGGTTTTTTTCCTCTTTTTGATATTCAAACAATGTACTAATGACCAATGCTTGTAAAAAGCTTGTATGTACTTATACGTGCACGAATGTGTAATGTGTATGCGAAGAAGGACCAATATGCCTGGCGAAAAACAGAGATTGTATTGCATTCTTGGCCGCAAGCGTGATTTGTGAATGCATTGCATAGTTTTGTGGTGACAACTCAACGACAACAGTAATAGCAACAAGAAGATTCCTATTATGTATTAAAATGCAGGCATAAACATGTGCATTAAACATGGTACCCACACATATGTACATAGGTTTATCCGTAAGCAAAAGAGTGCTCTGCTAAGCTTAATGAGTTATTTTTTTAATTTATTCACCATTTCTTTCATTTTTTTTCATTTATCGTTTTTCCTTTTTATTGTTTTTTGTTCTTTTTAGCCCAACTGTATGCATATATGTAAGTGAGGACTTTGTACTTTCGGTGATTTTGGAATTTTTTAATTTAACCGAAGGATAACAGCAACAAGAGCAACGAAACTAAACATATAGTACGTACCTACGACCGGCGACTAGGTTAACATAAGCTTGAGTCGAAGTTTTCATAATCGTCAAGCACATAGGGATATTAAACGTCGGGTTTCTTCAAGCCATAGATTACACTTTGTAAGAGATAATAAGTAAATTCAACTCGCCTCGAGGACAGATAAAAGGCTTATTTTCTGTTTCCTGTGGCACACAGAACTTGAATTTCATAGAAACTGACCCTCATTTGACATAAGTCAGTTTATGGCGCTATAAAAATTGTAATAATTCTTAAGTGGCATGACTGGACTGACATCTTTAAACAAAATTTCGCTCAACAAGTTCATAGGATCGCCTGCAGATGTGCAATGACTATTGATAAATCCATATAATGTTTGGATAATAGCAGTCTTCAAGCGAAATGACGTGACATTTTTAACCATTAGTTTACCAGATATAGTTAGTTTAGCGTGTGTGACGTTCCACACAAAGCTCAGCTTTATTCATTGCCTCATAAAAACAAAAGTAGCGTCACTAAGCCAATCTAACGGTTAGAATGCCACAAAAAGGATCTGTTAATAGTGGCGACCTACAATGTTATTGAGCGGTGTGTTAAGTTGAAAATCTTTGTATTTTCTCTGAAAATTTCTCTTAACTCTTCCATCAAATGCGATTACAATACACAAAATTTATGCAAATACATCAATGTATACGACAAGCGACAATATGCCAAAAGCTAAGTAAGTGAACTTTTGATGACTTTAAAGTTTTTCTCATTTCAACTTTTGCGAAAACCATTTTGTTTAAAGCTGTTAAGGATTAGGTGCAGACGGAAAGACAAATAGATTTAAAATTAAATCGAATTAAATATTTGTCGGGATTTTTAAAGTTTTTACTTCTACAGAGTTGTGGTATAAGAGCATGTGACGTTTGTCCAAGTGTTTGTAACACACAAAAGGACTTGAGATAGACCCACCTTTTGTTATACTGATCGATCCAAGCTTGCCTTCGCGTCTCTTCGTGCTGATCGATACAGAATCATTTTCCGAATCATTTCCTGAATCGATCCAATCTTGTCTGTCCGTAAGTTCGCCTTGTTTACTCGTGTTCAACCTACAGGCCGCACTTTTTGAGATATACTAATGAAATTTGGTATACCGACGTTTTTTGGCTCAAGGACGAACGCTTTTGGAATTGATTTGGATTGGATCACTTTTTCGACCACTACCCATAGAACGCCTTATTTCAAAAAGTCGATATGTGACTGTAGAGGTGTGTCCAGCATTTAATAGTGGGCCGTGCCCCGCTACAGTGTTTTTAGTTGTTTTTTTATTTCTTTTTGCAATTATTAACGATAAACCTAATATACTCATTGAAGTGTAGCTATAAACCTTAAGTTAGTAGCTATTGCTTGCAGTTGTTAAAACGTTAAAAGAAAAAAAAAACTATTTTGGTAATTTCGTGTATGTGTAGCGAAAGTGAGTGACGTTTTTTAATAAAGAAAACAGGAAAATTCAGAAAATGCATAAACAAATACAAATGCACGATTTTCTATTTATATGGGGAATATGAACAAAATAGCCAAAAGGTTTATAATAGAGAAGAAAGGACAAACATTCATTTCCTTCTTCGAAATTTTTAATTAAAATATGCTTTGAGAAACGATACAAAAGTTTTGGTATAGAAAGAGCACTTACTTGCTTTTATATATTTTGTCACAATTATCACATTGGTACGTGGGTTGTGAGGTTTTAAGTGCATTCTCATATTCCTTCGACTCCTGCTTTGAATCATTCGAATGAGATTTTTTGACATGATCTTTGAGATTATGACGTCGCGAATATTGCAAATTGCAAAAATTGCATTTGAATATTTTCTCATTAGTATGTTGACGCAAATGGCATCGCAACGAATGCTTACGAAATGTCTTCTCACATAGGGGACATTTGATAAGTTGATTTTTGCCCATAACACCGTAGGTATGATAGAGACGATGGTATAGCAATTCAGATTTATAAGTAGCTCTGGAAAACAATATAAAAAGATAACTTTCCACGTCATCTTCATTCTTTTCTTTCCATTACATTGATTGCAACTCACCTGAAATTGCATTCGTCGCATTGCAAAGTTTCTCGCTCTTCTTCTGTGTTCTTGATATTTGCGATATCCTTTCTTTCTCGAGGATTCGATGGTGTACATTTTCGGGTATGTCTACCCAATGCCTGAGCGGTGGGATAGCTCTCACCACAGCTCATACAAATGTGAATTAATAATGAATGATGCTCATTTCGATGAGCTTTTAATTCTTCTCCGTTATTGCAGACGTAGGTGCAGTCTTTGCATTTTTGAATTTTTATTTCTTTCGCAGTCTTTTCGATCTCATCTCTGGCTTTTGCTTCTCTGCTTGTGCATGGTAATTCATCGTTCCGTAATTCTTCTTTGCTCAACATTTTCAAAGCAATACTTTTAATCCGCGTTACATCTTCTGAAGCAGGAAGTGCACTGAGAGATAATAAAGTCATAGTAAGATACTTATGGCTTACATTACATTGCAGTTGGGTCGTTAGTACGACAAGGCATAGGCATATTATTCCGTTAGCTAGCGAATGTCGTTGAACCGATGATATAACCAAATAAATGTAGTACCGAATAATTAAATTTTGTCATTGATTGAATGCGAACAAACTCCGGCTTCATATTTACATCCGGTTAGTAAATTCTTAGTAATATATCGCTGCATACCTTCTAAAAATATATACAGCTGTGGCCCTCAAGTCAACCATTTTTGTTCATGGAATGAAACAATTAGTGCATGAAATTGTTTGAATTTGTAAGGGAAATTTGCAGATAATGGAATGGAAAGTGAAAAGTCGCTTAAGTAACTTATGACTTCTAAATAGATAACTTTTTTATCGTATTGTGCTTTTCAAGAGATTATAATATGTACAAATAAGTTCGTAGCCCAAGTTAAAGACCCCTTCCTGGATTGTTTTCGGTGGAGACGAACGGACGTGTATGAGCACTTTGCACGGTATCTCGTAAATCACTTCCTAAATGCACTTTCACTCCAAGGCAGTTTAACCATTTCCTAGCTATAGCTGCATTTCTTTCCAGCTCGAAAGAAAATAAAATGAAGTAGTATAAATGAAGTCATCTCTTTGCACTTTGATTTATGCTGACCGACAGCTTGTAAAGATTTGAAACTGACACTACGCACACACACATACATAATTTACATTAGCTATTAGTTTTCGCAACAGTACTTACGTTTCACTCGTTTCAGCGTTTCGCGGGAAAAATAGTTTGGTGGCCGCCATTGTTGGTTTATTTTTTTTACTCATAACCGTGGATGAGTTTCTTTTATGTTCAACAGATTTTCGATGTCGTCTAGCCTTGCACGGACTATTAAATTCCATATTACAAATGGAACAGAAATACTTTGAAATGCAATGTTTGAATTTTTCATGACGTTGCAAGGCTATCTGCGAATACAAAACTTCGGAACAAACGTCACACTTAAAACGGGATTGATAATCGTCGGCAACTGATCCTGTGAGCTCAGTGCCCGGATGATACGTTAATACATGCTTACGTAGTTCGAAGTTATAGCGAAAATGTTTACCGCACTTTGAACAATCTAAGCTAAGACGTTTGCTTATACAAATAGGCACTGAACGATTGATGGCAAATATAACCTCCTGATGTTCAGGTCCCAATAAATGACGGCGCATTTGATTGTTGTCTTCACATTCGAATTGACAATAACTGCACCAAAATTGGCCGGGTCCTTCTGACGAGTCGCGATGTAAAGCCGAATTCCAATGCATTAAGAAAGTCTCTTCAGTATTGGCGTAGAAACGGCATGGCCGGCATTGAAAAGGCGATTGTAAAATCACCGAGTGTATATTATCCAAAATCATAGGCAAAGAAAGGTGGGGATACATTTGCATTCGACGATAATGATAATGCGAAATTAAATGCTTTCCTATCAGATGACGAGACATAACGTGTTTACATAAATTACATTTCAGATATGTGGAACGGCGTTTTCTCTTCTTAACCTTGTGCTGTTGTTGATATTTATATTGCTGGACAATGCCAGTTTGATAATTATCTGTTTTATCTTCTTGAAAAATGAAACTCTTAGTTAAGTCAGCCAGCGGCAGTTCTTCAATGACAGCTTTTTCCAATTGTTGTTCTGGTTCCGCACGCTTTATATGGTAATTGGTTTTGAGGTGATTCTCGTAGATGGCTTTACTTTTTAACTTTCGGCAACATATATTGCACCAATACTCTTGATTTTTCGCAGCCTTGCCCAACTCAACAGCCTCTTTGTATTCCAAGCGTTGTAACTTAGTGCCTGGTATCCATTTGCCTTTGGTATGATGAGAAGGTGGATGTTGACCTTCGTTGCCATCCACATCGTCCAGTTGGTCATCCCAATTGGGAGAAAGGCGGGTCAGTTGAGTATGTGCTACTCTAAGATCAGGACGATGTTCCGGTTTCCATTTACCACCAGTATGAGACGCTGGCACTACAGGTGGAGAGTGTCTTAAAGGCGACGTTAATTTCCATTTGCCACCCGTTGCATGAGCTTCTACCATTGGATCATAATCCTCATCGTCCTCATCATCGATATCAACTTCAACGTCGTCTTCCTCTTCATCATCGCTTACTTCAGGCGAGTCATGTTCGAAGTTTATAGGTTTAAATAAAGTTTCAAAAGATTTTTTCGGCTCGCCTATATCGCTAACTGCTTTAAGCAAATTTTCACTATGTTGCTGATTACTGTTTGCTGTATGCGGAGAAACTATCCAGCTTTCTTCTACCGACACGTTTCCTTGTAACGGTTTCTGGCGTTGTCCTGATACGTTAGTGTTAGCACTTTTACCTATTGCGTTAGCGGAAAGGTGATGACTGCTTACCGAAGTCTGTACGCTTTGCAATTGTAGGGAAGAAAAAAACACATCGGCGCCTAACTCGCATGGCAACTCATAATTTTCTGTTAGGGTTTTTGCTTCGGTCGATTTTCCGCCGTATCTTGAGATAGTTGCTGATTCTGGTCCAGTAAAGTGAAAATCCTCATAAGTTATACTTGTCGTGACCGTAGAAGTTTGTTCTTCATTGCTGGCAACCTTTCCAGATGAAAGTTTTCCTTCTTCATTACGCGTCGACGGATTAGTGCAATTGCGACAATTTTCTTTACGGTGTTGTATGTAATTCTCTAAACCAACTATTGTCTGCCTACATTTTATGCAAAGGTGAGCATCTTCTAGATCACCGGCATCATCCATTTTTTATATCTGAAAATAGAAAAACATTGGTAGGGAATCAAAATCTTTTAGAGATGGTAGTAATTCTGATTTCAACGTAACTGGCGCTCAAACAACTTTTAAAAGTACTTACGGACGCAAAAGCTTGCATAGAAGACCAAAAACTTCGAAATATTTACAATTTATCGACGTCTACGTAGCAGCTAGTAATTGTTCGTAGGAGCTGCCCAGTTTTCTTTCCTTTGAGCTTATGTTATACCATTTGCCAATTCTCTTGACAATTCTACCTCTTCGATGCGAGACCTAGCGAATAAGTTATTTTGATTCTTTTTCATTTTCGATGTTCAAAAAAACGATTATAAGCGTGTAACATTCTAAAAATTGTCAGTGATTTTTATTTACCTATAATCACTTCTTTCCTACGTGGTCTAGTTTTCGGGATGTTGATGACATATGTTTCTATCTATTTATGCCAAAAGGGATAATTTTAACATTCTTCTTTTTTCGGCTTGCTACAATCGTGAAAAAGAAAACAGGAATATGAAATTTGGTATATATATAAAGTGCGAAGTGAGTAAGACACGTGATCCTCATGAAACCGCGAGACATTACACACCCTATGATGATTTAGATAGCATTAATTTTGAGAGAATTCAAGATAAATTCAAGTTCACCGCAAGAGTCTTTGTCTGGTTAGGTAATGTTAAACAATCAAATATTTCTCAAAGCAGAGTGGTTTTGATGAACTTTTTCTAAAAATTTTTCGAATTATTTTAATTCTTTACAGAAACTATTTATTCCAAAGTTTATTAGTAATAGTATCCGAATATAAATAACTTTATATTTAAGACGCAATTTTATGGCAAGAAAATTTCATGTCGTAAAATTGACTTGAGGTAAAAATTAGTCCAGCCAAGAGTAAGATATAGTTAAGAGATAGTGGAAAAAAAAAATCTGTTGGTTTTTTATAAAATAAAATCAGAATTTATATAAAAGGTTTAAACATAAAATTTTAATCAGCCATCGAAATAAATTATTAATCAAAAGTCGTAAAAAGTTTGCAATGCGGGGAGGAGGAATCAAAACACTGTCGATTATCGTAGGCTTTGGCGCTGGCAAGCTGACGACAAAACTCAGCTCTGATGTACAACATCAAAATGTTTACGACTTTTTTATTTCACCAAAAAAGATAAAGAAAAACAGAAATCATTACAATAATCATAAAACTGACTGACTGATCCTTGCGAGTGTGTGTATATATATACATATATAAACGTATATATTAAAAGTTAGCAAAAAGTTAAATGCAACCAATAACGAATAGTACCCAATACATAACCAATACAAGTACATGTAAATGTAAAAAAAAAAATCAAAAAAGTGAAAGCAAGCAAAAAGTCAGTCAAATAATACGGACGTTCAGCGACACAATCATCAGGTAAACACAACTGCAGGTCTTAACAATAAATTATTCGACGCAAATTATCGAAGTTCTGGACGAAAAGAAAAATAAATGCAAATCGATTGCATTAATTTAATAATAACAGCAATAATATCGATTCATATGTATGAACGTATTTATGGACGGGTATAAGCATATCTCAACATTTCCACGAATATACTTCACCTCTGTGTGTGTCGTTGATGCGTTGCGCCGACATTCGCGTCATTTTAGGCGACCATTTTTGTACGCATTATATGATGCAAATGTCACATCGATCGACATCATGAAATTTATGACACTTTTAATACATACATAAATTTCCTGAAATTTTTTTCGCGAAAAAGGAAAAAATTTATAAAAATAAAAATGAGATTCAATCATTTTAGCAATGAGTTCATTGCAAGCATGCGAAGCCGCAGCAACCCATGCAAGCGCTTTTATCGCTTTCCGTTGCTCTCCTTATTATAATGGATTCATTTAAATGTGAATAAATATTTACGAGCAAAGAGATTAAATAACAGTAGAGTTTGCACTCGTTGGTTTTTTTAATTGTTGAAAAAAAGCAAGTGGGAAAGAAATTAGCCTTCGTTCAAAAATTCTAGTGGACCACAAAACACATAAATATACCAAATTTCACGAAAATATCTCAAAAGTTGCAAGCTGTAGAACATAAGCACCTAGAGATGAGGCGGACAGACAAGCTTAGACTCGTTTTCTGAATTGATCGATAAAATGTGTGTCTATCGCGGGCCTTTCTGGATGGTGCATATAACGTTGTGCAACGCATAACTACAAGTACAAGCTGTGTAAAGTGTAACCATTTATAGGAATGTGAGGAGTGTAAAGCAGTCTCCTTTTTCTACTTTCATTATTGTTTGCCCGTGTACTTATGTAATGTTTGTGTACGTAAGTTCACCATACTGGGAAGGGAAAAAGGCATTTTCTCTTGAATGGCCGAATAGGTAAGAACTGCGACTATCACGTTAGTGTTCGCGAATTTATATCTTAGGTACGGCAGAGTTTTCTTTGGTCACATCTATAGTAAGCAGCTAATTGAGTAAGGCGTGGCACTTATAGATTGGGCACACTTCCACCACACCGAGCCCGCCGCCACCCTATTTCGTTCTCCTTTCTCCCTTCTGTCAAACACTCACTGTGAAACACGAATGGGGGACATCTCCTGAGTGGTTGACCTTATTAAAAAAAAAAAAAAAAATTGATTTCGTATCAAGTAATAACTAAAAAAAGAGCTTTTGCTTCTTTTCAATTGTATTATTAATAATATTTTTCCTCTAACCAGTAAAAGTGACAAGTGCAAACTCCAACGCTATTCATGTTCTCTCACATGGGTGCATGAATGATTCGTGAAGGAGGATGTCTGCAAAGTGTCAATAAGTGAAAAGCACCATGAAATGAAGTGTCGTAAAATTTTGTGTATTAGCATGCGATTTAATTAGCGAGAAAAAGAGAGAGGTGTATCCCGAGTAAGTATTTATAAAATACTACAAAAAGCAAGCGGTAAACACTTGTACGTTTACTTAGTGAAGGCAGTGTTTTTTCTCATCACAGACATTAAATGAGGTAGGTGGTCGCGGTTATGAATAAAAACAGTTTACTTTCTCCATTATGCCTAAAATTGTAATGGGCGGTATAAGAGGTCTTTGCGGTTTTTTGGTTTGGTTTTGAGCTCCTTTTTTGTTACCTCCGGTGAAGGTCGTGCGAACTACTTTAGTATTTTGTCATCCGTCAATCGCAAGTCTTTACTTGCTATCAATATTTTAAGGAATTTTGTTTCCTATTTTCCACGTTGCACGTGTCGTTCTAAAAAAATGAAATCTACTATACGATTGAATATTAATTCATATATATAACAATTGTTCCGGCTCAAAGTTGTTGTAGCTATAGCGATCTTTTCTTCTTTAATCGTCGGTTTACTTTTGTTTCTTTCGTGGGCTCACCCAAAAATCGAAAATTTTATGAAAATTATTCGGTGTACAAATGAATTGTCTGCTTCATAAAATGTACCTGAAGAGCTTAATTCACTCGAAATTCCAGGTAAGTTAAATATTAATGTTTGAACGATGTAAGTTTAAGTTACTTACAAGTTGTCGTTCAGTATATATGAAAGTGTAAGGAGATGAGTGTCATTTACGAAACTGTGTCTACAACTAGATTAACTTGGAAAAAAATGCAGCTAAGGTTACAGTTGGCTTGAAATGAAAATGCCACGAAAGAGAGTGGTTCGAGACATGTTGGGCAAAAAATTGAAACCGATGAAAATTCATATACGTCCTTCCCTCAACCAAGCAGATAATTTTCATTCACTATATTTTCCAGGTTTGACTCCTTCGGGTACCACTTATTCAAATGGAGGCAGTCATAGTTAGCAGGTGAGCGGCTCAAAGAAGTTGAAGTTGTGATAAAAAGGGTCGATGACTATTTCGCCTCCAAACCGATAATTCTTCACCTCGAGAGCATCCCTGAACTACTCGATAAATGACAGAAGACTATGATTATTAAGATTTGTGGCAAATGTATTTTAAATGAAGGAAAAAATAACTTTTCAAAAAACGGAAAGAAAATCTTTCATTGATAAAGACTCGTAGGTTAAATTTTATTTCTATACCTTCAATTCAGGATTTATCAAACCTGTATACAGATCATTGATCCAATCAATCATGCTGAGCCTGTGTTTGAGCTTAACCGCTCTCTCTATCATTTTTCAAGATAGAAACGAGCTCGTGTCAAATTAATTACTGCTTATAGGCGAAATCGAAGAAAAAATTGAGAGTGACTACGCTTCTATATATTTTTTATAAATAAATAAAAAATAGCAAATTTAGAGAACAGAGCAAACACAAGGACGTGCGCATATAAAGAAGACTTAATCGTGATGTTTAATTGCGCATAGATTATGAGATGTTTTGAACGATATTCGTACCTTTGAATACTCGTAATTTTAATTTTATCTAATCATTTGCGTATGCGAAAGAAGGCTGCGCAAGAGAACTCAAGAGCGCCGATGGAAGGAACAGCAAAAACAAAAGTATTTTATTTTTTATTTGCATGATCGCTAGAGAGTTGTGTATTTGTGGCTGTATTCGTGTTCGTTCGTGCCCGTTCTTATTTGTGTGTGTGTGCGTGTGTGTGTGTGTGTGTGTATGTGCGTGCATGAGAATAAATGAATTGATCTCAACTGCAACAAGTTTAACAAAATCAGCGACTGATTCATGAGCAATCATGGCAAATCTGCAACGAGAAAAAAAAGCGACAACTTTATTTCGTTTAATTCCCCAAAATATGTAAAGTTTGCGGGGAAGACGGGCGCTTGCTACGCAACCAGCAAGAACAGCAAAAATTGTGGCTGCTTTTGCAGCAGATAAAAATTTATATCGAATTGACTCATTTGGTAATATTCATAATTTAAGACATTTGTGCCTGTTTAGAGTTTGGAGTGGTTGGCTATATAGTTTGGTTGTTTGGTCGCTTGTTTGGCTGGCATTATATGCTGCGGTAGTTGTCCCCCATAAATTCTCAGCTCTTTGATTATTGCATTGCAAGCAATAGCTGAGAGGAG